CAGCAAAAAGAGCTGCAGAGATGGCGGATGAATATGTATTAGTGAATAAATCGAAATCTAGCTTCCGACAGCAATTTCATTCTGTGAGGGATAGAAATTGGGAAAATGTGAGATTCTTCAAGGAAAAACAAAACAAAAAGTAGATCAGACTGGGAACAGTTTACCACTGGTGAAAAAAGAAACCCATGAAAAGGAGGTGAAAGCCCTCAGGTGTTTTCACTGTAATGAAGAGGGACACACAAAGTCACTGTGCCGGTGGTTTAAGAAAGGCACTGGGAAAAAGGAAAAAGAGGCTAAACCAGTGGGATTAGTTGAGAGAGTGAAGGAAATCCCAAAAGAGGTTGAGGAACTGTAGGAGAGTACACAGCCTAGTCACAGGCTGGGTAATGAGATGGTGCCCAATCTCTACAAAGTCTTCACCTCTGTGGGTAAGGTTTACTCAGGAAGAACAGGGAGAAGGTAAAGAAGATAAAATATTGAGAAATATGGAACATAACCAGTCTCTAATTGTAAGAGAAGAAAGTATTTGCACTCCTTCTGAATTGTTACCTGAGAGAGTGGTAATCTGTGGAATAAATGGAGAGAGATTTAACGTTGCCCTGTGTAAGATCAGGTTGGAAAGTCCAATCAAGTCTGGGGAAGTAACAGTGGGAGTGATTGAAAGAGTGTCAATTCCAGGAATACAGTTTGTACACAGAAGCCGGAGGAAAACCAGGGAACTGAGGAGTTAAAAGAAAAATACTCTGGAATTTTTCCAGACTGTGTGGTAACAAGATCCCACAGTCATAAGTTACAGCAAGAAGAAAAAACTAAAGAGAGAGATGAAGGATCTGACGTCCACTTAGCTGACACCCTGTTTGATGAAATGGTAAAGGAAAAACCTGAACAGGTAGAGGATCAGACAGAGGTGTTCAGTTCTGAAAGACTAATGGAGTTACAACAAAAAGATGAGACAATAAAAGGTTTATATCATAAAGCCTACTCAGAAAAGGAATCAGAATGTATTCACAAATGTTATTATCTTAAGGATAGAACCCTAAGGCAAAAATGGAGACCTTGGCAGGTTAGCGCAGGAGAGAAATAGACGGAAGGTCACCAGATTGTGTTGTCAGTAATACACAGATAGGAGGTATTGCTGGTAGCACATGAATTACCTGCAGGAGGTCATCTAGGAGTGAGGAAGACTCAGGCTTAAATACAGAAGCATTTCTATTGGCCTGGATTACATAAAGATGTGGCTGAATTTTGCCATACCTGTCATATGTATCAGATGGTAGGAAAGCCAAATGCAGTAATAAAACTAGTGCCTTTGATGCCAAATCCTGCATTTGACGAACCTTTTACATGGGTTATTGATTGTGTAGGTCCCGTCCTTAAAACCAAAGTGGAAACCAGCATTTGTTAATCATAATGGCTATGTCTACCAGATTTCCAGAGGCAATTCTATTACGGAATTTTTAGGCAAAGAAGGTGGTGGAGGAGTTGCTTGCTTTCTTTACCCATTATGAACTACCCAGGGAGATTCGGTCAGACCAAAGGTCCAACTTTACTGCCAAATTATTTAGGGAGGGCATGGATAGTTTAGGCAGCAAACACTTTAAATCAAGTGCGTACCACCCTGAATCTCAGGGAGCTTTGAATAGGTGGCATCACACCCTAAAGACCATACTGAGGGCTTATTGTCAGGATTACCCAAATGATTGGGGTAAAGGTATCCCATTTATATTGTTTGACACTAGAGATGCCCCAAATGAATTGACACAGTTTACTCCATTTGAGTTGATATTTGGAAGTAACAGGGTCTTTAAAATTAATTAAGGAAAGGTTGATAGGTCTGAAGTCAGAGATCTCACAGTTGGATTATGTATCTGAGGTGAGAGGAAGATTAAACAGAGTTGGTGAATTAGATAGACAGCATCTGAAGTTGGTACAGCAAGCAAGAAACAGATAAGAAATCTAAAATTTGTACATTTGCCCGGGGTATGAAGTTTTGCTGTTGTTATCAGTGGTAGATCCTTTCAAAGTAAGGTTTAGTGGTCCTTATCATATTGAGAAGAAGTTGAGTCAGGTGAATTATCTGGTAAAGATGCCAGATAGGAAAAAACTTTATTGGGTATGTAATGTGAATATGCTGAAACCTTACTGTGACAGGGAACCAGAGAAACAGGTATTAGTTACTGCCCCCCAGAATGAGGAATCAAATCCAGATGATTTGGATTTTGATGTGCCTCAGAATATATTGAATAAGTTGCAAGCAATCTATTTCGTTCAGGATGTGCCAGTTATCTTTTTTGAGATAAGGAAAGCATTTCCTGAGTCTAATTAACTTTCACATCTATGTTTAAATGTTTTTCCCCTAATGCTTCTATTATATTTCTTATTTCGATATAGAGAGACTGCATAATACCGAGATACAGAGAGATTTGGTTATTCCTTGTCCATAAATCGCCTGCACTTCAAGGCAAAGATTCTGTCAAATGAGGCCTGGAAGTCCTTATGAAAAGTGGGAAAATTTAGATGACGATCAATGCAAATGGCAACACCTAGTCGTATGCAAGAGCTCATCTTCACCATGACACGTGGTTTCAGAAATTCAAAAGCACGATACCAGCCCTGTGAACATGATATCAGCAAAGATGAACCCTCACCTTTGGCAAGGGAGATCTTCATGGGTGTCACTTGTTACACATTTTTCTTTTCCAGAATCTATTTGTTTGTCTATAAAAAGACGTGCAGCAGGTTATCTCATCTGACCACACGAATGTGCCGAGGCTGCATTCCTTTTATCTCTTGTAGATGGAAAAATGTACGTGAACCATACATCCCCATTTTATATGTATCATTCAGGAATAAAACATTTGCCTTTATTTCAAGGGGATTGAACGATAAAATTAGGGATCTCTTGGTACCATTTTACACAGTATTGACTGGAGCACTCCTGGAGTATTGCTGAGGGAAATACTTTTTATACTGAGCTGTGTGTTGTAGATATTAAAAAAAAATCGATATTGAATCAAATGTAGTTTCTGCATTTAAGAATTGAGCATTATATCAGGTTCTTTGCCACATTTGGTGAACACTAATTTAATTCTTAAATTATTCTAATTTTGTTTCATTTTTTATTACTTGATGCGTTCTAAGTGTGTCTGGTTTAAATGAGCTACATTCAACAGGTAAGAGTAAAATTCAACTAGATCATGTTTGAACATTCTTGATTCTTAAAGCAGGTTTTGTTTAATCCTGGTCTACTCCTGAAATCCTGGTCTGCTCCTAAATCTTCTGTCAACTGAAATACTAATGGACAATAACAGAAGACTTGAAAAGCTGGCAATCGCCAAAAATGAAGTAAATACTTCATTGCTCAGACTTTTGAGTATAGGAGTTGGGACATAATATTGACGCTGTAAAGGATGTTGGTGTGGCCTCCTCTGGAGTACTGTGTCTAGCTGTGGTACACTGCTATAGAAAGGAGATTATTAAGCTGGAGAGGGCTCAGAAAAGATTTACCAGGATGTTGCCAGGAATGGAGGGTTTGAGGTTTAAGGAGATGATGGATAGGCTGGGCCTTTTTATCACTGGAATATAGGATATTGAGGTATAGAGGTTTATAAAATCATTAGGGGTGTAGATGACATGAATGGCGGGTGTCTTTTTTCTAAGGTGGGTGATTTCAAGGGAAGGGGGCATAGTTTTAAGGTAAGAAAGATTTTAAAAAGACAGGAGGGACAGCTTTTTTACACAGAGAGTGGTTTGTGTATGGAATAAACTTCCAGAGGAAGTGGTGGATGTAGGTAGAGTTACAGCGTTTAAAATACATTTGAGTAAGTACATGAATAAGAAATGTTTGGAGGGATATGGACCAAGTGCAGGCAGGTGGGACTAGTTTAGAGATAACAAGGTGTAGAGCTGGATGAACACAGCAGGCCAAGCAGCATCAGAGGAGCAGGAAGGCTGACGTTTCGGGCCTAGACCCTTCTTCAGAAAATCAGAA